TAGTCCTACTTTAAGTATATAGTGATTTCTAATCGAGTATAACGTAATGTCTAATGATTAGTTTATAAAAATTTTTTGTTATCGTTTGTGCTTGTGAAAATGGAGGGACCTTCTTCAGGCATGGGAGATGACGGATTTGGTCCCAAAATTTCAAGGTAAGTTTAGCAATAATCCTACATTATTTGATGACATTGTTTGGAGGTTAGGGGGGACCCCATTTTAATATGCATTATTTCGGAACCGAACAAACCCGATTTTAGGATAAACTAGTTTTTCCTAGGCCGAATATTAAGCGGGTTCGAAAAACTATATAGTTTTCACAAAATTCGGTAACGTGTTCCCTATTCTTTCGGTGGTTCGGGTTCGATCTTGTTAGAAACTCTTGTTTTGGTAAAATCTTTCCTTATCTAAAGTCTTTAAGCGCGGCATAATAGTTTTTCAAACCCGCGTCTCTTTGGATACCCTGATTTGGCCTAGGAAAAATTAGTTTATCCTAAAATCGGGTTTGTTCGGTAACATACATATATATAATAATAGAGTTGTATAATAGAGTTGGGACATGCTAAAAATTTTAATTTCCATTTACAATAGGTATGGGATATTGAATTATTCAATATAGGTAGATATTGAACAGCGGCATCGCTAATTAAAAACGAGAAACGATAAATAAAAATTGGTAAAACATAATTGTATCATTCCAAACGCGTACATACCCAGTTTACCACCAGTGTATAAAAAATAATGCATATTAAAATGGAGTCTCCTTAACCTAAAATCAATGTCATCAAATAATGTAGGATTATTGCTAAACTTACCTTGAAATTTTGGGATCAAATCCGTCATCTCCCATGCCTGAAGAAGGTCCCCCATTTTCACATGTCACAAACACAAACGATCACAAAAAAAATATATTTCCATATATCTCCAATATTTCAGTAAATAATTTAGCAATTTTCCGGAACTTTTTTTCACACTATCAAAAACCGATGACGGCACAAGAATTTAATGTATTTGATTCAATATCCTGTCCAGGATTATCAGAATTAATTATTTATTGGTTCTGAATTCCTACCATAAGTATAACACATTATAAGTTATAAGTATCTACCGCTAATCTTCATTATTAATAGTTGAGATGCCCATTTTAAAGTAATAATTTTGACGGGCATTCCAATATAAATTTATTTCACTTTTTTCTGATACAAACACAGGGTCGGTTTTCTTATTTTCCTAATATATCCTTATATTTGTCACATATATCTGAAATTAGAGTTTTTCGTCTGTGTACTAACTCAACGGTTTTTTCAAACCAAACCGAACTTATTGATAATTTAAAAGCATACAAAGAATGCTACAAAATAATTATCTCTTTCAGAATTTATAATAAACTGTGAAAAAACTACCTGACGCTTAACATTAAAAAGGGATAAACAACGTTTGGAACCATGGAAAAGGTACAAATACGAATATGAACCTCGCTACCTTAGCAAAGATTTACGTTGTCAAAATATATTCACTGATTAACTAAAAACTATTTCTGTATTGTAACGCAATTTTAAATTATGTCTTTATTTTCGAGAAAATTTAGTCCACACATAAGGAATGTTTTGTTGATGTTTGACCATCAAAATCCACAAAACATCCCCCTTTAGAACTTCGTCTGTCATGTTAAGAAATGAAAGTAAATAATAAAGCGCCTCTCGTGTTTGTTCGCACTCAAAAAATTTCAATTAATGCCTGTATATATTTTTAATATATTTTTTAAATTTACATTTTTTTAATTGTAAAGTAATATATTACATTTAAATGGAATATATTACATAACAATTATGTCAATTACAGGATTACAAGCCTGTTTTCTAACATTTTTTAAATAAAACGAATTATAAAATTTCAATATATGTATATTTGTCGTAGGTATGAAAAAAGTAAAATATAAAATGGACAAACGCTTACTTACATTGCAATAAAACTTCCACTTTTGGTTTTGCAATCCAAACGCAATATTTCTATTTCACAAATAAAAATATCCGACAACCTTTCCGACAACACTAAAATCACTGAAACTTCCGCGGCTGACAACGAAAACTGAAAAATATAACGGCACTTTTTGTTTTGGACCTGCATATCAACATTACGCTGTACTATTATGTGTTTGCTGTTGAAATAATATAAAATATCTAATTATAACTTGTATATTTTAATATTTTAACATGATTTTAACTACTTTTGACAATAACTAACTTTTTGTTATCAAGATGACATTTTAGACGGCAACTGACATATATGTCATAGTATTTGAATATTAAATATGTATGTAATATAATTTAAATTACTATAATGCATCTTTATACTAAGAAAACATTTTTTTCATTTATACATTACAAAATACAATAATATAATTTGAAAACAATGAATATTGAATTAAAATTGAAAAAGTTAAGCGCGACCCCTTATGTCAAAATTAGATGATATGATGAAAATTAAAATGATATGATGAAATAAAATTATATGATATGATGAAATTTTCGCAATTTTTACACCATTTGATGACCGGTGACGCCTCTAGTGTTTGTTCGGGCGGTTGGCCTTTTACTCCCGCTTATGGCCATTAAAGAAAAAGTTCTAAAGGGAGATGTTTTGTGTCAAAATCTTAAAAATAAAGTTGTCAAAATATGTGCTACAATACAGATATAATATAATCCATTATCCTTAATTCTTTCTTCATTTGTGTAAAAATACCTAGCCAGTTTTACATAAAACGTTAAATGCCGATTTGCCGAACGCTTATTTTGCTACTTTTTCAGACTAGTGAAACGGACTCTTAAACACTGTTTAAATGCAAATTAGTGCAAACGGCCATGATTGATATTAAGGCTGTGTTCCGTTGCAAAACCAGGCGAACCAGACCGGTAAACTATGGTAAAGAGCGGTTCATACGGAAAAAACATCGGTTTGATACGGAACGGTTTGGTAAAATACTGGAAATGTCATGGTTATACAAGGTATGATATTGCGCAGGTTGATCGCTACCTCACAGGTGATAACAGGCGCTATTGGTCAGCATGCTCCACGCGCCTGTTCAAATCGTCTATAGATATTGTTATAAACCTGTTTTTTTGTTTATAGACCGTCATTGACTTATCGCCAAGCAAGTTACTGTGGAGCAGTGCGTAAAGAGTCGGGCTAGGAAGCGAGAGACCTGAGTTCGAATCTCGGCCGGGACATAACTTTTTTATTTAATTTTTTAAATACTGTTGAATTCTATAGTTTATTTTTGTAGTATAAAAAAAGAACTATTTATTCTGTTATTTTTTAATCTCCCGTATTAATATAAATTGATTGTTGGTACAATACCTCATTTAATATAAAATAATATTCTACTTTTTGAAATGTATCGGGCCCTAATTGTACCTAAAAGTAATATATTTTTAGTGATATACCATATTGTAAACTATTCAATATTTCAGTCACTTAAAAAGTTAATTTGCATTGAATAATTGCCCACCATTAAAGGAAATTTGAGCTATAATCCTTGATGGGCATATTCTGGGTATGCAAATACTTCCTCTAAATTTTTGGGTTTCGTTCAACCGATTTATTCTCAAAACCTGAAACATCTACATATCAAAAGAAGCACAGGTCACTAATTATAATAAACTTCACCCTTGGAATTACTTCTATCACAATTACAATACATTCATCTGCATTGGCAATTTCTACTTTTCGATGGGAAACAATCAACTTCCCAACATTTTTTAAATGATGTAACAGTTCCTCTTGTGGTTACTTTTCCACAGATATCGTCATCTCTGTCCTCATGTGAATTCAGAGGCAATGAACATGAAAATTATTTACCCTAAACATCGCAACCTAAAAACCTAATAAACAATTTTATACCGAATATAGAAATAAATTTAGTATTCTTACCTATTATCGTCCAAAAAAAAATCCATGTTAATAGATAATTATTATTTTGAAATATATTTTTGGAACTGCTGGTTTTAATAATTATTAAATTAAACGAACTAAAAAGTCTTAAAACTAAACAATTCTTAACCATAACCTTGGGGTTATTTTTTGTCATTTTTTGTCATGGTCATTTTTTGGAAAATGCAGATCTCCTGTCAACTTTCTTTATTTTTTACATTTTTTATTTATTCCTTATTTTTCTAGTGACGTCACAGGTGGTATGCGCGAACTGAACGAAATTGGAGCCGCTATCGATCATACCTTGTTTTCTTTGTACCATGTGGAAATGTCAAATGTTGACGTTTTCTAAATTTCAATTTTCTTTCAATCTATTATAAAATTTATCTGTTATGCCTTTTTAATGTAACTATTATTTGCTTTTGCGTCTGCTTCTTCTTTTCAATGGAGTTTAATATTGAAAAGTACTTTATTAATAAACTGTTAAACCCGTTAGACAGCTCAAGTGAAGATTTGCAGGTCCAATATTAAAATAGATCAATAATAAATAAACAAATCTAATTAATATTTATATTTTTATAGCTTACAAAACATTCACGATTACTTGTCTTGTTTTTCATGTTTTCTTTAAATGTTCCTGACTTTAAAAAACAATGGCTGCGTGATAAGTTTAAATGGTCCTAAAAAGTCATTCTGTTTAGTTAATGAAATTTATTTACCTTTACTGCCTCCCTCCATTGCTTTTGGATGTAAATACAAAATATTATTACAAATTTTAGAAATTGAATGAGAATTTCACTCGAACTTCCAATGTTTGCTTGATTTCTGTCACATAAATGACACTGATTGACAAACAAAACCAGAAAAACCAGCCTTCTCTCGCTGGTTAGTTTGGTGACAGTTAAAACCGAATTTTTCAGGAACCGTGTTCCGTAATAAGAAAAGTTTCCAGAAACCGATAGAAACGGAACATAAAACCATAACCAAGGTAAGCAACGGAATACACCCAGTATCAAAACCATTTTTCGCTAGTTTTAGAATATTCCGTTTTAATATAAAATTACACTTACCTATTATAAAGCATGGACTGTACGTCAACGTAGTTCCTACGACTTGGGTAATGCACAGTAACACATATCCAACCAAAAGACAAGCCACATAGTTCGTTTGACATCTCCAGTGCAACACGTGGTGACTGGCAGGTAGGAGTGAGCCAGCTGCCAGAGTAGCTGCCAAGAAAATGGCACTTATGGCCAAACCGATGGGGTAGATGGTAAACTTTAAACCATCGTGTTCGTCGGAGGTTGGTAAAATTACCGGAGGAAGGTAATTTTGGCACGTTATTATACTGGCAGACTCATCTGAAAATCAAAATATCATAAAATTAATTTTAAATATACCTGAAACTCTATACATGGTGCTACAAATTCGGAGTATCAGCAGTGGTATCTCGGAAACCGTAATAGACGCGAATATGGTTAAATTGGGGTAAAGTTGCGCTTTGGGATGTTCACCAAGATACCATCAAAAAAGTTTTAAAAATTTCAAGGATTACTGAGTTTTTTGGAACAAAACAGATTTTTTTGAAAATAAATTTTATTTTTTCCTGTCGTTACTTTTTAGAAAATCAAAAAACTAATTGCACATTCTCATAGCCACTTTATTAGGGCTATCTGGCAGTATTTCTTAGATTTTCAAATTTGCTGATAATTTGTGAGATACAGCAGCAAACTTAATTTTGTTAAATACGGACCTGTATTTTTTATTTCAGGTTTTGAAAGAACTGGTTTCCTGAGTACAGTGATCAATGATATGCCACACTTCTTTTTGTTTTGGGTACCTTAACAACAACAAAACTATTTAATTATTATTTAAAATAATTTCAAGTCCGACACTATTTAATCTGATTATATTCATCGCAACAATATTGATCAGCGCCAATTAACATTAAATAAGAAAAATCGAGCCAGTTAAGAGATTCACATAAATAATATGCAGTCAGCAATTTAAAGATATTATTTTTAACTTTTTTTATTGAGAATTTGAAATCTCAGTGTACGAGTTTGCATCATATTAATTGTAGTTATTATAAATAAATCAACTTCTACAAACTAGTTTCTAAGGCCCTACATGTTCGAAAGGGTTACCACCCTCCCTATTGCACAAATTTATTTTTTGTTCAATTTTATTTACAGCTCTTTGAACATAATATCTTCTTATACTTCCGAATGCATTTTGTACTCTTTATTGTAAATGTTGAAATGTATTTTGATTTCACTTTTACAAATAACATCAAGTAATTAGGGTACAGTACGTTAATAATACGGATTTTCTAGCATTAAACAATTTAATATAATATTATATGAATAAACAAAGAACGGCGTCAGAGTTGGCTTGGAAATGAAGATCGCTGTTATTTCATACGTAAAATATTATGATAAATGTCAATAGTCGTCATTTCCAAGCCAACTAAACGACTTTTTTCGATCATACGACATTTTCGGTACCTATAAAAGAATTTTTCTTTTTGTTGTTTATTCTATGTTTAACACGAATAAATTTTTAATGCATAAACGCGGATTCCAAGATATTTTCGTCAAACGTACCTATTACAGATATTACACATTTTAATATGGCACCGCTGTCGCTTTCAATTCTACACCGTCTTCGATATGGCCGAATTAGAGAAAATAAATGTTTTATGCGATGGCCGTAGAAGAATTGGTGTCACCACCATACAGCACTTGAGACGTAAGGGGAAATCAAAGCAACCTTATCCCGAATTCACCCATTAGGTTGCGTATCTTCCCATTTCTTTCAATCAGCCATTTTAGGATTAATGATTGGTAACCATTCTAAAAAAAATTTCGATAGAAAAACATTCAATAATGTTGTCTTCATGAACATAATATGTATATAAGTTTTGACATTATTTTTAAAACCTTTCTAGAAGAATTTTAGGTTCATTATTCATAAACTGAAGAACTGTATTTTTAGTAGGTAGTAGGTAGTAAAAGAAATAAACTAAGAACAAGATTTCATTTAGGTTCTTAAATTAAATCTTATTTTTTAATTAAATCTTCAATATAAAAATATACAAAACGCGCTAATGAGAAAATGTAATACAAATGTGTTTTCCAAACTGATGAAAAGCGTAAATGTTATATGTGGGTATCTCCATTTATTCGCATCAAGGTCAAGCGGATACGTTGCTCCGTATGTATATTAGACACAATAAGCTCTCTGTCTGGTTAAGTAGGCCGACGTTTTGGTCAAGTCGGCGCAAGAAGCATAAAAATCGTTAATAGGATAATTTCCTTTTTTAGTTGTATCTTTTTCCTTATTTTGCAAAATCATCATTTCGAACTCAAATTCTAGAAATTAGAAATATTGATTTGATGAAATCCATCCCTAGACTTTGAAACAGGAAGACTGTCAAAACTACAGGGTGAGTCTTAAATAAGTGCAAATATTTTCAGGGCTGGTAGATCTCCATAAAAAAAACATATTTCTTCTTTGTCGTCTTTCAAATTAATAATCCAAAATAAATAAGGTCTGACCGAGATCTCGGTGTCGGTTACAGTCATTCTCGGCTGAAAATCAGGCCGAGATCCCGGTCTCGTTCTCGGCATAAAAAGGCCGAGACTGCTCATGATAGTCAAATTAGCTTATTTTTGAGCGTATCGCTCCACCTATTTATGCCTGGATGAATGAAATACTCGTCCGAAGTCGAAAAAAAAAAAGAATAGATCATATCAGAATACGATCTGATCGAATCACGAAGGGGATTTCCCGGACGGCTGAAAAGTCGCCTTCGTTTTTCTATGCGTAAACAATGATCGAAATGTTACATGTTAGTGCTTATTAATGTAAGTTTTATAAATTTAACAGAATTGTGCTTTTATATGAATTACTTGTATATCCTACTAATATACACTAAAGGTTGATTCTCACTATACCTTGCATATCAGCTCTCTTGCGTTTCCCTTCTGTTTACATAAAATATATTATATCACGTAAATGAATAAGACAATGCATACTGCGTTCCGTTTCCCTTCCGTTCCATATCCTTTCCTTCCACACATTTTTTTTGGCGGATGGACTGAAGCGTATCGAAACAGTGTTGTCAAGTTCTTACATTTGTACCAGCTCTGTTAAAATTTTGCTGATATTTATTTAATCTTTCGTCTCTTAATTAAATCTATTACCTTTTTCAAAAGATACAAATTTCTAAAATAAAACTTTCGTAATGATATAAATGGTACAATAAAAATATGGAACTGATACGGAACGGAAGCTTACACATAGCGTCAATACAATAAAATACGGAAGGTATAGTGGAATAGGAAGGTACAGTGAGAATCAACCTTAATAAGTAAAATTTTGTGTGTAATTATTCACCTCCATACAGAGTTCTGAAACCAGCAGCTTATACATTTCTAGTCTGCATCACTAACAAGTGTCTCTAGCAAACAACTATTTAGAAAAAATATGATGAAACACTGCATAATTTGAAAGGATGTAATGCTGAAAAATAGCTTTCTTAGTCTATAACACAGACTGAAAAAGTAATTTTATAGTATTAAATTCCAATAAAACCGTTTCTGCATGAAAATAACGTTTTTATTACATTATTATCAGATGTTTTTTCATATATATAATAAGCTATTGAATAAATATTGCATCGTGTCTCGGTCTCGTTCTTGGCCAAGAATTTCTTTTTCTCTCGGTCTCGGTCTCGACCGAGACTAAAAATCCAGGTTTGGTCAGACCTTAAAAATAACCGAGTTATTTTACTTTGAAAATTTAAAAAAATATATTTTTTGCTAAAATTTTCAGAACCATTAGCTTTTTTCTGGATTTCCTTTCTTGTAAATTTAATCTACTACCTATGTTGCCTATTATCAACAAATGATGGTTTTAACTAAAAACCAAAAAAATTTTCAAAAAATTAAAAATTTTCGCGAAAAAAACTAATAATCGTGTTTTTGGGGTCGAAATATACTATCCCTAAAAATATTTGCAGTTATTTAAGACTCACCCCGTATAGTGAGTCTACTAACAGGACATTGCAGGCTCAATAGGCATCTAAAGCTGACGGGATTGACGGATGAAGCCATGAGTAGATCTTATCAATCAGAAGAAGAGACTAAAAACAGATTTTATGCCAATGCGACAATCTGCCAAGCCCGGTTCTTTATATTAGACAATATAAGCCATTAACAAAAAGCTATATGGATTAGAAGTGGGCATTCTAATTCCTCGGAAGAAACTAGTTCTTTAGTTCTAGTTTCCCCGGAGGAACAGTTCCTTTAAATTAGGTTTTTAGTTCACATTAGTTCCCGCCTAATACTGACATCAGTTGCGTGCTCTTGGTTAATATATTCATAGTATGATCTCTATAATTTTTACAATGTACGAAATATGACATGAGTAATTGCGTACATAGAACATACAGAAGTTTTATTGTAGTTAAAAACAAAAAATTAAAAGAGAAACTCAAATAGAGTTGCTTTAACAAACTATATAGAGCCAGAATCAGAGTTAGTTTAACAAACTATATCACAAATCAATTGGATCAAATAATAAAATACCTAATACTGATACATGTAGGTGGAACTAAATGATAACAAATATGAAGGTAACACAATAAAATAATTAAAACAATTATCGTCCATTGTGTTCGTGATATTTCTTTAGATGGTTTGCCCAAAAGCTGGCCTTCCACCAAACCGCCGCACAACTCATCGCATCGACGCATTGGCGCATCAAATCTATGCATTGACGAACCGCATCAGCGCATAGTGAGTATGGAGCTTTGGTAGTTATATATTTAGATATTTTACATAGTTTTTTCTCTTTGTTGTCTGCTTCTGACTCTACACTTCTGATGGAAGGAGATATACCGCCTGAAACGTTAAGCATTTTTTTGTTGGCCAGACAAATTTCAAAAAACATATAAAAATAAAAAACTGCAACATTGTACTCAGATTTTTATAAACATGCCTAGTAGATACCATATTAGTGTAATAATTGTGGGGTTTAATTATTACATTTTTTTCCATGAAGCTGCTGAATTTTCCTGAAAAGCCACAAGCTAGTTTCTGTTTTCATTTCTACACGAAATAAAAAAAAGAAATTCTACGAAATGCTTATTAAAATGTTTATTAAAAAGTTTTTACAGTAGTTGACAGCATTAACTTTAATTTTTTTTAATTAATTTCAATTTTAATGTCGCAGTTTGTCCATGAATTAGTGAATTTTTCAAACTGAATGAACTGAATGAACTTTGTCCATGAATTAGTGAATTTTTCAAACTTTATTTCCAGTAGTTAAATTTTATTTTGATTTCTGCTCGTGG